CTGGAATCACTCCACAAAGTCTTTGATAGTTGGTTTGTGAGCCATGTAGAAAAGTGTAGACCACTTGGTGGGGGGGGGGGTCTTCTAGATTCTAAGAACCAGGGACTGGAGACTGTTGATGATATGGCTCATAATTCTTGTTAATAGATAAGATGTATTTATCCTTTGTAATTTCTCACATCCACTAAACACTCATGCTTTTTACATGTTCCTATCCTTCTCCCACACATTGCGGCTTATTACAGCACTTTTTAATCTAAATGATCCTCTTCTCTATTAGTTTCTTTATTAGATGTATCACACAGTGAAACAATATTATTTACTGGATGACGTTTCTAGAGAGAGAGTTCAGCTATAGCACTACATGCAGTTACACACAACCACACAATATGATGGGATAGGATGACAGTTTTAAAATCTAATGTCACAGGATGGAGGGAGAGATTGATAACAGAAGCTTTGTTTGTCGAATCAACTGCAAATACATGTAATAGGAATGACTGAACACCTGTCCCAGATATCTAGAAAATTCTACCACCCCTACGACAAGTAGGAGAGGACAAAGAAAACTATAAAACTCGAGTTTCGAAATCGTGTAATTATAACTGATATGATTATGAATAATAAATTTTGTTCAAAACGTCATCCAGTAAATAATACTATTTCACTGTGTGATACATCTAATAAACAAATTAATATGGAATTACTTACTACCACAGTGCCTAAGTTTTACACATATATTAAGATCCTCTTCTCTCCCTATCTTTAATACGTTACATAGAGTGTGGTAGCTTGAACTGCTGCACTTCTGTATTAAGCTGTATTTTGAAGCCAGTCAGTCAGTTTTTATTTGTGCTAACTGCATTCTGTCAATCACCTTAGATTATGGTGACCAGTTTAGGAGAGTCCCTGGCGCAATGCATTTTTTGATGTCACGTAAGAAGTGATCAGCAGAAATCCCTAGATGAAGGTTTTTGGGCTTATTGGTACTCAACAGCAATCCTTATCTGCAAAGTTGAAGGAAAAATATAAAATGTCTGTGTTAATGATATCATGTTGTACCTATACAACACCGGGTTAATGGCACCCTTATGGTTAAATTATGAACTTATGTTTATTTAGTGCTTTTTAGGTATCATCTCAATTTCTTACTGAGATTTGTTTTTATTTACAAAGAAAGACTCAGCTTCTGGTTTTGAAATTCCAACAGATTCCAGTCATGAATAATCTTCATCCAATCCTTTATGAAAAACAAAATAAGTAGTTCAGCGAAGTGGCTTTTTTCAGCGATTTCATTTTCTTTGCCTGTATAATAATATGTATATACCATTTTTCTCACAAAAGAGAATATTAACGGGAGAGGTGAATTATGTTGTGTGGGAGCTAATGATCCTACCTAGTTGCTTAAACTTCCAAAGGGGAAAAGCGGTTCCAACTCGTAACGCAATTATTGGAAGTCAAGAACCTAAAATAAATGAGTCACAGTTTCAGGCAGAAGTTCGATTTCTCTGTCCGGATGACTAGAGCTTCAGTACGATTGTCTTTGGTAGGTTGTCCTTCACTTAGTAGGCCAGTTTGAATAAGGATTTTGTGGACATTGAGTAGTTATTGTAGAAGAAGTGTTCAAATATTCTGCTCGTTTTGGAGCTGCTATTGCCTCTGTACAACCACGTAGAATAATGTTCTGAATCCTTTGCAATACGCATTGAACGACCGACGTCCGTGGCATCACAGAAGCAAGTGAATTTATATGTGCACATGGAAGTTGTCAGACGCAAGATCCTCTCTGCAAATTATTTATTAGATGATCTTTCTCATTACGTAACTATATTACTCCTACTCAACTTATGTATTGATTAATAGTGTCAACTATGGTTAGGACAATTCACCTCTATCGTTAATACCCTCTTTTGTGAGAAAAATGGTATATAAGTGCTACTATACAGGCAAAGAAAATGAAGTCACTGAAAAGAAGCCTCTTCTCCGAACTACTTTTTTTTTATAAATTTCAACCACACAGACAGAAAAGTGCGTCAAACACCAGTCTTAATGATGGATTTCTCTATATAGGCAGATAGACCTTGTTGTCACTGTACAAGAGAATTTTAAGAAGTTGAGAGCTCATCTTTAACGAAGCAACTATGTTTGATTAATGTTTAGTAATTTTTCGAATTACAGTTTATCTTAAACTGTGTCATGTAAGAATCAGTAGAACTGGTAGGATTAGAACAATTCTGTGCTCATAAACCATCTTTAATTACTCTGCATTCCAAATAAAGAAATTAGGTAGCATGAGTAGTGATATATATATATATATATATATATATTGAACACCATAGAAGCCACTGAGAGGACACTGTTTGCACATATAGAAACCACGAAAGCCGAGGCCCTAGTGTAACAGCACATTTACTCAAAGGAGTATATCCCCTCCCCCATAATGCACATCTTTTATACCCGCTTTCAGGATGTCATTGATAGGGAATTTGAAGGGGATTGGCCAGGTTATATCACCCTTCGAGTCTCTGACTTAAATTCTCATCTTTTAGTAAGCAAGGCAATGTCAGCAACCTATTGCTGCTGTTACCAGCGATCGAAACACGTTTCCATACTATTCCTTCCTTTCAGATCATGAAATATTGATTTTCAATCATCGTCTTCCAGCTTCCCCAGTTGAGCCATCCATATCTATCAATCCGCTAGTGCATTCACTCTTTTAATTTAGTAGGGATAGTCACCGCTGTGTGAGGACAGTTAGTAAGATTAACCTTGTAGAGATTATGAACGCATGACCTTATGGGGGGGGGCATTTCGAAGAAGAGTCCTGAGATTTCTCATCCCTAGTCATAGCACGCCGTATATGGGAAGTAGAAATCTTATTGTTGGTTATGTCAGAAATTGACCAAAGAGCAGTCGACAGTTGTCTCCATGCTAATCTGTGACTTGTCAACAGTATTCATCAATGATCAAACAGATGACCCTCATGAAAAGACGTGATCACGTTTTTATACAGAGTCGATGAATGTTATATTACAAACATACTGGCTTTCCTAAAGAATAGCGACCATGCAGTTTGAATGCGCCAATGACCTTGAACGCATGTCATTCACTGGATTACAGAACCTGTCATTATTACCACATCAGTATGAACTCTGTGCTTGAATTGATGCGTAAATTTCATTCTGATCTCGTATTTTAGTACTTTTTGGATAATGGCTTGATAGCACGTTATGGCTGGGGTATTATATTATTATCTGCATTTTCTTCTAAATAAATAATTGGCAGCAGAGTGTTTCTTCATTGACACATGAAACCGTCTTGATAGCTATGGAACTTAAAAATTGATAGTCTTCATTGTAGTTGGGAAGCATTTTTCAGTTACGGCAGGGTAGAATCTCTTCTTTAATGTGTTTTGTATATTATTTTAATTTTCCTCGTAAATAAACATTTTCCAGATGTGGAATACACAGTAGGTTTTGTAATCCAACGAATGGCATGTGATCAAGATTACTGGTGCGGTCGTGCACCGTGGTCGCTATGCCTTATGTTTACTACAAAATACCTTTTCTCTGATATGCTCATCTATCACTTAGTAATGTTCTATAAATAGCTTTCTCTATTTAATTTTTTTTTCCTTCACGTTCCCCAGTGGGACATAGGGCTTCAAGCTAGATGCTTGAGGTTTCTGTAGCAGTACTAATCTTTACAGGATGGGGTTGCTAGCCTCATGCCCAACCTTTCCTCTTTACCAGCATTATTTCTGCCTTAGCGAGGTAAATGAGTGCGTCAGTGGCCGGGGATCGAACCCCAGACTATGTGCATGGTCGGTGAGCGTCCTAACCGCTATACCACAGACGCACCTTTCTCTATTTAATTAACAATATATTTTTCATTTTTGCAACGATATATGTCAAGCTTTCATCTTGAACTGTTTTGTGTGCTAATGATAAATACACTCTGTGGTATTCAGTAGTCACACTTGATCTGGTTTGAACTGGTTCGGTCATTTCAAGTACATCCCGTGTATGCAAACCAACCTTCTGATGCTTTGGTCACATAGATTAGGCTGATAGGTATTACTAGTTAACAAAATGACTTTCTAAGCTCTCATATCAATCAGTGGTAAATACAGTCTGTGTATCTTGCTTCGTTTCATAACTACCAATTGAAATAGGAAGCGAATTATCTGATGTGAACTGAATGCTTTGTGTTTCCTAAGGAAAATTCATGCTATGGAATCACTCGTATTTCAGTGATGCAAATCAAGTACACTTCAAGTAATTTGTTATTTGATAGGGTTAAGTTAATAATAATAATTAAAAATGAGATGTTAACACCATTTGACCATTATCAATTTTGTGCACGTTTCCGTTTACAGCGTCATATCCTCACCACTTTTCATAAGGCATTTACGAAAACGTGGAATTCCTGTAAGTTCGTTTATTGGTGGTATACATATAAAGTAAATGGTGTTCATTTTCTTTGCTTTTTCTGAGTTTCATATCTTTTTTTTGTGCATAAAGGTCGATAGTAGAACCTTAATTCAACAGATATACACTTGTATTCAACTAAAAAATATCTTAAAAGTAGTTAACACTATTGATCAGTTTATCGGCTTGCAAAACTTGAAACATATAAAGAAATAACTAGTCGGCGTTGCCTTTATGAGGAGAATTAATCTAATATTTACCGCCTTATTGTATACCCTACTGTTAGTTTATTTGCACATAGCACAATATAAGCATGTTTAATTTTATGTGTATAACTTGATAGTTTAAAAATATTTTGCTTCACTAGTTAATTTAAAAGCTGACATTTAATTCTCCCTATTTTAGGTCAATTTCTCTTGTAAACGACACAATTACTAACCTGTATTATCTTTCTTTTTTTGTGTAATCAGTTTGCGTCATGTTTTTTCCCACATGTCCTATCACGCTTGTAAATCTGTAACGGGAGAGAATAAGGGATTGGTAACGGACATTTTCATGAAAAAAACGCATCATATACATTTCTAACCACATTAAAAGTCGGCTAGGTCAGCTGATAATATATTGTATTCTGATTGGTTGACTTATTGGCCCGATGTTAGACAAGATTGTCCAATCAGGTTATCTCATGGTTACAACGTAAACTAAATCCATATTTGAGGAATAAACACTTCTACCTGTGCAGCCAGATATTGACTTAAAATGTTGATTCCAGTTTTGGCCGCTTCCTATTAATCTGCACACGCCAAAAATTTTCTCAATGAAGACTTTTTACCAGTGGACAAAATCAGTAAACTAGGAGTTAATTTTAAATTGAGGTTTCATAATGCATCGATCCGACAGCTAGTTACATTCCCATTGAAATTAATTTCTTACCAGGTGATGTATAAATGCGATAGATGTGCTTACTGTCTATCTAACTGCATACATTATTTTCCTGCTTTCCTTTTTCATTTCGATCTTGGCTGTGATAATTTCGTAGTATAGCATACCACCACATTGTATCACTTAGTATGGGTATGTTTTTTTCTTGTAAATAAGATAACTTCTTACTTTTGAATGATGTTTATTCTTTGCTGCTAGAAATAAGCAAGTAGAAGAAAGAAGGAGAGATTTTGTTCTATGATAATCAGTGTAATCAACGCCTTGTTTAATCGTCTCCCATTTCAATAATCATACGAAATAATGAAACAAAACATGACTTTTAATACATAATTGTAATCCAAGACTGATTCATAGTTGTCTGAATTTATTTATTTAGATAATGATAGTTATACATTTTTGAAGATGGTAATTTTATCACTATTTGTTTTGACTAATTTTTGGTCAAGTATTGGTTTGTAGGGATTTGATTGATTGGTTACAGAACTTCATTATGAGCTGATATCGGTTAGAGAACCATTGCAAAGCCTGCAGGGAGTACTGGACAGCTGTTTCGTCCTAGTTTGGAACTCTTCATCAATAATCACCTCTTAGGTTCGAACCCAGGACCTTCTGGTAACAAAGCGAGCTCGTAGACCTTAAATCCACTGGATCTCTATCCAATGGTCTATGTATTCCAAACTTTGCTTATTCATGACATAGCACTACCACTAGCCAATATCTTTGGCGAGTATTTGTCCTAACGCCCGACCTGCTGTTTTTTTCTTCGCAATACTTACTCATATCAAAATTACGTTCTCCGGACTCATTAAAGGTGCCCATGAAAAATTTAAAACACTGATAAATGAACAAAGAGTATTCTTTCCAATAAGTTCATCATCAGGTTGTACATTTATATAGCAGTAATAATTAAAGGAATGTTGTTATTAACAACATTAAGGTTTTAAATTAAATTGAACCAATAGTATCAGTAAAAGATAGCAGGCATTAGTATAACGCTAAACTTAATATTGAATCAATTGAGGGAAGTAATACAGAATTTATAAATTTATAAGTTCAATAGCAGACAAAGTTAGCAACAGTGGCTGGACCTGGTTCTTTAACACGTTGAGTGTACTGGTTGTTTTAAGAGAATTGCAATAGCCTCTACTGTTTAGAGTATTCGGTACCTGGATGCTTTCTGCAATTTAGTTGATACCCGGTAGATAATAGAGAAATGTTCTGCAATGGCCAGTTTGAACCAAGTGATCTAATATTGAATTGCTAATGGTTTTTATTACAGCTTTATTTAACCGCACTGTTAGATGGCCGTGAACACGAAAAATTAGGTCCCTACAACAACAGCCAATATAACTGTCTCCACAGGAGCAGTTGAATTGATAGCTAGAATCAGAGGTGGCTAGCCTAGTCACATCATCTTTTAGTTTCGGAATCACAACTGGTTGTGTGGAAACTATAAGCTGCAACTTATGGCATTAAACGTCCTTTGGGTTGATTTTTTCGGTTTGTTGGCCATGTTGGACCGACGCGAAGAACCTAGAAGACCTGGATTCCGCGCGTGGAGGATTTGAAAAACGTTACTTCATTCACTTATCTTATCTAGGGAGCATTGTCTCAACTACAGGCAGTGGGAACAGACGAGGATGTCAAGTCGAGCGAGAATCGGGAAGGCTGGCGAGGAACACATTCATCAACCTGAAACCAATCTGGAAATCTTCGTCACTCAGCCAGCATCAACAACAAATTCGGTTGGATTTTCAATACAAACAACGTCAAGTCAGTCAGTTCTTCTATACGGATCAGAAACTTGGCGGGCGGGCGGGTCACAAAGAATATTTCCAACAGCCTGTTGCAGACCTTTATCAACCAACAACTGTCTTCGCTCTATACTGAAGATCAGATGTCCGGGTCGGAAAGAATCATCAAGAAGAAACTATGACTGGGAACAAACAAAACAAGAATAAACAGATCGCCCAAAAAATATGCAGGAGAAAGTGGAGATGGATTGGACACTCGCTCGCTGAGGAGGCGCTGGTTGACATCGCACGCGCGTCAGGCCATTGCTCGAGTGGAACCCGAAAGGGAAGAGGCGAGTGGGACGTCAGTGCAAGGGTGACATGGAGGAAATCGTGTGAAGTGAAGAGGAGTTGAAAGAGTATGGACTAAGATGGATGCAGGTGAAAAGTACAACAGAAGGAAGACAGAAGCAATTGGAGACGTGCAGTTGAAGCTATATGTTACACTAGGAATCCAAGGGAGCAATAATATAATAATAATAATCCCACTTGGTAAATCACTTATGAAGTGTAGTTGTATATTTAGAGGCTTCTTCTTAACAGATAAAGAAGAATTCTTTTCTGCTCTCTTTACTATGTTCCTCAGTGATGCACTTTTCAGGTTAGCTATTTTCAATTACCGTACCTTATGTAACGTTAGGTTCGTTTACAATAGCACCTTCTGAACGAACAGCTCTGACCCTATAGCTGAGGGTCTATATACCAAGTTTCTTTTATACCGAAAAGGAAGAAAAGTTTTAAAATGTGTATATTGACCGGTTCAAATACTTTTCGTATGCAAATTCCTATCTATGCTACCATGTGGTCTTCTTGTCAGTAGAACATGTAAAGCGGCAATTATTTGACTTTTGAATTCTTGTTCACACGTGAATTTCAGATATTATAGCGTTCCTGTCCCAAATGCTTTCACAAAGGATGATGGTATCATCTATATACCAGTGATAAAATGAGAGAATTTTCTGATAAGGCCGATGTTGTTTCAGCACATCTTCTTATTAGCAAGTATTTTTCACTATATGACAAAGCTAAACTTTCAAAAACAACAATTCCTTATTTTCTCATTCAAATTCCTTATAGAATTCCATTTCTTTATGTTGAACTTCTATATTTTATTTTATTTTTCTCAGTCTTTCATTCCCACGTCTTGTTCGTTATTGATCTTTTCGTTTGTTTGTTTGTGTGTTTGATTTCAGTTATAGGTCATAAGCTCTGTGAACATATTATTTGAATTCTACTGTTTTCAGCATACTGTTATCACCTACTTTCTGTGTTTTAAAAGTAAATTTCTATTTATTTTGACTGAATAACATTGACTACCTGAAAAGTATTTTTCGTAATTAAGACTTGTAATCATAAGAATGTTGTGCTAAGACAATCATTAAGCATAAGCTGGACTTTTATTTCAGTTGTCCTTAATGATACTCAGACGATAATGAGTTAACCTGTAGCCATACTAAATTCATTTTAATGGTAATTTAATTAAATAGCTGTACAATCGCATTTATACATGATTATCTGTGTGTGTGTGTGTGTGTGTAGTAATACAAGAATGATCTACCTGATTAATTATCTAAACTTGACAAAACTCATGTACACACACACACACACACAAAATATTACATTATTATTATTGTTCCCTTCGGTACCTAGTGTAACATATAGCTTCAACTGCACGTCTCCAATTGCTTCTGTCTTCCTTCTGTTGTACTTTTCACCTGCATCCATCTTAGTCCATACTCTTTCAACTCCTCTTCACTTCACACGATTTCCTCCATGTCACCCTTGCACTGACGTCCCACTCGCCTCTTCCCTTTCGGGTTCCACTCGAGCAATGGCCTGACGCGCGTGCGATGTCAACCAGCGTCCTCCTCAGCGAGCGAGTGTCCAATCCATCTCCACTTTCTCCTGCATATTTTTTGGGCGATCTGTTTATTCTTGTTTTGTTTGTTCCCAGTCATAGTTTCTTCTTGATGATTCTTTCCGACCCGGACATCTGATCTTCAGTATAGAGCGAAGACAGTTGTTGGTTGATAAAGGTCTGCAACAGGCTGTTGGAAATATTCTTTGTGACCCGCCCGCCCGCCAAGTTTCTGATCCGTATAGAAGAACTGACTGACTTGACGTTGTTTGTATTGAAAATCCAACCGAATTTTGTTGTTGATGCTGGCTGAGTGACGAAGATTTCCAGATTGGTTTCAGGTTGATGAATGTGTTCCTCGCCAGCCTTCCCGATTCTCGCTCGACTTGACATCCTCATCTGTTCCCACTGCCTGTAGTTGAGACAATGCTCCCTAGATAAGATAAGTGAATGAAGTAACGTTTTTCAAATCCCTCCCGTTGATGGTGATTGGCGTTGGATGTTGCTGTTGTTGTTAGTTATTTTCATAACCTCCGTACACACAAAATAACTATTTATAAATGCGATTGTACAGCTATGTGAATGAATTTGCCGAAAAGAGTCTCTTCGTTGAACGTCTTCTGCTTTTCATATGACTCAATGGAGATTTTTCAGCTATTTAATTAAATAACCAATTAAAGTATTGTCGTCAATTACTAGATGGAATAATGCGTCGATAACATCGAGTGATAGATGTTGGGTAGATTACGCAGAAACGAAAATCCTCTAAATTAGGTCATAATAATAATAGTAATAATAATAGTACTTGTGATACAGAATGGAATTTTCAGCATTAATCACAATATTGCATCTAATTTCCTCAAATTATAAATAAAATTAATCACACAGAAAATCTTCCACATTTACAATAGGGGTAATGTCAGAAACATGCGGCGTATAAAATGGAAATAATAATATTAGTGATAACAGCTAAGGTAATAATAATAATACAAGTGAAAATTGCCGTGGGCTTGTTTCACACAGTATTGTCGATGTGGTATAGAAATCATAGCTTGTTTAAAAATTATTGAATATAATGTTCTCCTTACATGACATGGTGAGGGGATAAACAAAGATTACAGCAGTTATGGAGATAAATTGGTGTTTGCAATTATGAGAGTAAAACACAGAAGCAACAGGACCATAAATATGATAGAAATAATAAAAGTAAAACTTGAAGGTATATAAGGATGGATGGAGGATATTGTTTATTTACTAGACGAAAAAAGGTTAGTTAATTCTTGCCTGACACTATTTTCTTCACATAAAATACGTACCAAGTATGGTATCGTAGAATTTCTATACTTAGACGTGCGAGCATACAGTTTTCTGAAGTTGCTTCTTGTTCTACCTGAGGAGATGCAAGGTGAAAGGAAGCTGAGGGTAAAGTGGATGCTCCAAGTCAGACAAAATCTCTTTAGCAAATTTTTTTTGCACGAAGTCAAGTGCCTATCGACAACGACGTTAACTATGTGGTCCATTGGGACACCACTCATCCTACTGACCGTCTTCAGCATTCTACGAATTGTGATATAGTCCTTTTTAAGCAAACCAGGAAAGAATAAGGGTGGACAATAAAGAAGAATAGGTAGGATGCAATAGTTTATGATCTGTAAGAGGAGGGGTTGAGTCAGTTGAGAAACTCGCTACTGTTGTAAACGAAACATTTGTAAACATCCATTTACGCTTACACACACGTATATACATAATTGTTGACCGACACTTATCGTGTGTGTTTCCTAATAATACCTGAGCATCAAACCATAAGTTGTCACAGCAAAATTCTTATATGTTAAATACTACAGTAGTTGTAAATCGATTGGCTAACCAAATGACAGATAGTTACACCCTTAGAGGGTAGTGTTGTTTCGTCAACAAATGATGTGATATTGTTTTTATACGCCAAGCACATATACATGCTAGGCTTAAGTAGTTGTATTCTGTAATCTTGTTAATTAAGGCCAACAAACCAATAGAGTAAGTCATGAGTTTATCTAACTCAACTTGTCAATGCACATGTAAAAAGAAAAATCTCTTTTATTTGTAGCAAAATATGTCCTTTAATTTGGCGGGAAATGTTTAAAACAGTTTAATAAATTCCAAATTTAAATTTGAGATTTATGTGGAACTCATATTGTGTGATGGTGTGATACAGACAATGTGTTCCAACGGAATATTATTCTCACATATTCCCACAGTTCAATACTGCATTGGCAACAGAGTACAATGTATGTGTATTTGAACATTCTATCTCATGTTAACCAAAATCACACGCTCAGTTATTGGTTAAACTAAATATAAACTGTATAGGTATAACTAGCGGTTTGATCAATTGAAAATATACGTTTGCATCTGTGTCCTGCCTTCTGCTGTTAGAGAACTACCATTTGTTCGTTATATTCTGAAAACTTGTAGTTGCTTTTGCTATTATAAAGTCTCAGACTCGAAATTACACTAGTCAGTGCTGCCTTATTTTGGTTATTCCGAGGATTATTCTCTCCTTATACCTCAGTTAAATTAGTAGGAGTGAAGAGCATAGAATCATGTGCTAGCCAACTGTCTAATATACTTGCCGTGGTAGTTATTCTAGGTATATATGATCTTTTTGCCCACATTTTAATTTTGTAGGCAAAACAGATCATATATGCCAAGATAGTGATAGAACATGTTGACCACTTCACCTATTTGGGAAGTTGTATCAGCACCAACGGACTAATTGGCGACGAAATCTCAGCACGGATCCAAAAAGCTCGAGCTGCTTTCTCTGACTTACACCATCTCTGGCGTAGGCGTGACATCCGACTATCAACCAAGGGACGTGTGTACTGCTCATCAGTTCGCTCCGTCCTTCTCTATCGCTCTGAAACATGACCAATACGAGTTGAAGACATGAAAAGGTTGACTGTTTTTGATCATAGATGTCTACGATCTCTTTCTCACGTTAGGTGGTTTCACAAGGTAAGTAATGTTGACGTTAGGCGTAGAGTGTTGGGCAAACAGGGATAATCAATCGACGAGGCTATAAAGTTACATAAATTGAGATGGCTAGGTCACGTGCTGTGCATGCCTAACCATCGCCTTCCCCGACGGGCATTACTAGCTGATATAGGTGCAGGTTGGAAAAGAGTAGGTGGTGGCCAAACAAAAACATGGCATCAATCCATGAAATCCTTGACAGTTAAACTGAGTCAGGTAGGGAGATGCAGACTTCCGGGTTGGGGCCCTCGGGACTCTAAGAATCAATGGCTGGAGACAATAGGTGACATGGCTCAAAATCGTTGTCAATGGCGCAGATGTATTCAGTCTCTGTAATCTTTCATATTTCTTTCTACCATTACTCATTCTGTTTCGCTCTTATACCTGTCAAACTCTATTGATTCTCTTCAATCATCTTCTTGTCTACCTTTGTGTGCTATTTGGAACGTGGCAACTTGAACCGGTGCACTTCGGTGCCAAGTTCTACGTTGAATTCAGACAGAGACATTTTAATTTTGTTACCATTGTACAACGCTGTAAAGACAGCCAATGGAATGCGGGCAGATAGCCTGTGTATATTTCTCTTACATATTTTGAATTTATGTGGCATCACTGTACAATCGCCTGTGAATATTCATTTAGATATATAACAGCTGCGTGTTCCATTGGTAAACATGTCATTTTTATCTGAATTCTCACGAGTTTGAAACCCATAGATAGTTAGTTTTCTATCTTGGTTCCCAAACCATACAGCCTAACTCTGTCTAGCTTGCTGGGTATTATCTCTAACCATTTCTACAAATCATACAGTTCCATCTGTAACTTGATGGCATTGCATTATATTCTTCATTCTGAACAGTATTTATATCATGTACAGAATTTTCAACGGAAATTATTGCATAATAGTTTCTCTTCGTCCCCAAGTAAATCAGTAATGGAAAGTAAATCGCGCGACATATTGCTGCCTGACCTGAAGCAAAAACCAATCCTTTATGATATATCTCTTCTTTGCATCCTTCGAGAAATGCATAACGCTTGATTGAAAGTCAATTATAAAGGTTTGCCGGGGTACATCTTTTGACGCAAGGACATAATGATAGCTGAATAATTGAAGACTTCAGTTGATTATTTTTATTTTTTTTCAGACAGAGGCAGCTTGTTCTAAAAATCTCAGATACAGTTATCTCATGCGTTAAAATATGCTGTCACCCACCACTTTCAAAAATGTCTGTATTCAATCCGACTGCACACTGATTCTGCAACCGCTAACACATAACTGTTATTTTTCTTCATCACTTTAATTAAAGTTATTCTAGGTTTCAAGACTGATCACGAACTGATTCAGTTAGACAACTATTATAAACCAAAGAGTACTGAACAGCTGTTTTGTCCTTATCCGGAACTCTTCATCAGCACGCACTCACAAAGTCAGTTCGTGATCGACCTATGTGAAATCAGTTAAATCCCCCACAAACAAATACTTGAATATTTTAGGTTTAATAAATGCATATTTCTAAGTGTTCACCGAGGAAGAGTAAAAGCCGTTCGTCTAAACTCAGTACTAATCTAATTTTCAAGACGAATATAATTCTTAATGAATCAAATGTTGGAATAACTTAGAGAATAGAAAACATGTTTTGTAATTCTAAATTTACCTTATTTTTCAAATACAATATACAGAACCAATACTTGAAAATTAATCTGATGCTCACTAGCGACTGGTGCTATTCAGACAGTTAACCTGGGGTTCTAGTGGGAAGCTGTGACCAGTAGGGTACAGAGGGTTGAAGGCGAGGCAGTAACTCATTGAGGAGGACATTGCGAAATCGTCGCGCTATGTCGTGAATTAGCAGAAGTTAGAATTCATGGGCCGTTGGATCGAGTCCCAGTGGCTTTATGGTATACGAGCTCGCCTTGTAACCAGAAGGTCCTGGGTTCGAACTCCTGTGGTGGGTGCGTACTGGTGAAGAGTCCCAAACTAGGACGAAACAGCTGTCCAGTATTCCCTACAGGTTTTCCAGTGGTTCTCTAACTGATGTCAGCTCATGAGTAAATCCTCCATGCAATCAAACAAAATTCCTACAGAAACAATATTTGAAAAGACAACATTAAGTAACTGCAAAAAACCCTCTCTGGGTATATCCACTCCTCATCAGTGAAACTGTATACTCGTAAATACTTCATTGTTCATTACACATGCATTTCTATTATCCTTCAAGCATTTTTTGTCAGTTTGAAAACTTCATAATGCTTCAGGCATGTACAGTGTTCTGCGTCCATATGTTATGCCAGGTCCCATCAAGTTAAAATTTCTCACCATCTAAATATTCTCCCTGTAGAGTAATTTCTATAATTCTTTGTACGTTTTTTTTTTATGAATAGTATCATTCATGCAATGAATGATTTTCTATGGCAAAATGCTTATAAATTATCTATAACCATGACAACCATTCTCCTCCGCACACCCCACCTTGTTAGCAAAGGAAGAAATTAAATGCACTTCTAGGTCGATAACAAAAAAATCTTTTGTCTTCGGGATACTCAGCTTCATTTCAGAATTTCTTCAGTCATATTCAAAACCTGATAGGACCTCTCAATGCAAATGAGATCGAGGCATTTATGGGTATAAAAGAAGCATTAATTATCTGAAATTCTGTATATCCAAAAGAAGTACATTCAAGCTTTTCATTTAGCCTATGGCCATTGTAAGCAGTCTGTTTTAATCAAGTAAATCACTACTATTTAATTGCGTTTACTGTCCAAACATGTTGACCTTCTTCTGGGAATATAACCAACTTCTTATATATTCACAAGTGTGCAGGCTGACTTATAACTTCATCGAATAGAGAAAATTCCTGCAGCCTACTTTTGTTTTTTTATATAAGAACATATTTTGTTGTTTTGCACACTGTTTTCAGAAATATCACACCACTTTTTATTTATGTAATTTGTTTGGTATTGAGTTATATATCCCATGATCAATTTTTTTTTATTCACTAGGTATTCTTCTGGGTTTGCAACAATGAGGCTGATATGCGAAAAGCTTTTGAAATTGGTGCTTCAGGAGTAATGACAGATTACCCAACAGAGTTAACCACATTCCTGAATAACAATCCAAAATTCCCCAGATCATTTTAGAGATTAAACCCCACGCTACTGCCTCGTAAAAAAATTAATTCATCTTTTGACATTTTAAATTCGATAAAATTCATCATTCACAGTGTTACATTTTTGTGTGAATTGAATCAGCTGTGTTTACACTCTGATTAGATATTTTAGTGTCTTTTTCTCAGATGAGGCAGTCTTTGTAGTTGATTACGTAATAAATGTGTACTAGTTTCCTAGATGATTTTCTTGGACATAATTGAGATATCATGATTTTTAACTGGCAAAGTTGAGTCCTGCTGGCTATTTTACAAGAAATGGAGTGTGTTTTTTTATAATTGTGACTTCTTTTGTTATTTGTTCTGGGACTCTCTAAATCTATCTCAGTTCTTGACAGCGAGACAACTCCCTTTCACGCCGCGCCTACATTTTAAAAGAATAAAAACAAGATTTGGATGTCTGGAGTACTTCTTTCAGCTCTGCTATCCTCCGGAAATAAGTTGCGTCTCAAAAACACTCAGTACGAAACATAGCATTACGTTGCAGTTGGCTTTAGTTCTATATGCTTTGTGTCCTACATCTACATAGATTTGTATTGAAATATGAAATCATCCGTATGTTATCTCCTAAATACCGCTTGACAATATTTTGGATATGAAGTCGTATTCAAAGTTGTCATTTGTTTGAGTTTTTTCCTTAACGTTCCCCGGTGGAGCATAGGACTTCAAGCTAGTGGCTTGAAGTTTCTGTAGCAGTGTTTATTTTACAGGATGGAGTTGCTAGCCTCATGCCCAACCTTTCCTCTTTACCAGCATTATTTCTGGCCTAGCGAGGTTGAGGAGTGAGTCGGCCGGGAATCTAACCCCGGACCGTGCGCATGGTTGGCGAGCGTCCTAACTGCTATGCCACCGACGCACGTTTGGGAAGTAGTTTTATTGAATCATTTCTCCTGAAGCAACGAGAATATAGATCGATATGGAACCGTTTCGTATATTCTATGAAATATGTATTCATTTAGCACGATTTTTATAACACAGTGCCACTTTAATTTAATGATAGGAATTACTTTAATTTTGTTAACTGATAAGAATTAGTTTATTGTATGTACGACTGTTCTCATGTGCTTCATAATGACTCATGTTTTTCTATAAAATAAGCGAGCACTTCTAACGACAGCGATAACGCTCCCAGTAAATCCGCCTTACTTCCATTTCATCGGATGTTGACTAGTTTGCAGCCCACGAGAATCCAGAGCTTCGCGAACCTGAATGACACACACAGTTATCCTATTAGTGGTCACCCGATAAAGAGAGATTTCTTGGTAAACTCGGCAGACTTCATCTTCAGTGTGCTTTCATTCTTGACGATGAGTTTGTTCTCAGCTGAAGTTTGTCCTGACTTACAGGATTTCGATGTCTGATAAAAAATTGCGTTGTTCTGCGAATCGGCTCTTCTCAGTGAATTCATTTTCTATTTCTGTACAATCGCATCTGTATGCAATCTTCTTTTCATGCAAAGGGGTGGTAACAAAAGTGACAAGCTGTTAAAAATATTTGTTAGTATTAGTCAATGCATAAGAGAATTTGAATAAGTGTGGTAGAGTTGCGTAATAAGATGCATAATTCTAACGGATGAGTTGTGATCCGGATGAAAGGAAATGTGGAATTATGTAAGAGTCGTAGAGAAACAGAAGAGTGATAGGGAGTTAAAAAAGCAAGCACACAAATACCAGGTCAGTAGAAATCAACACGGTTGTTACAATGATGGTAGAATTGGTTGTGTGTTTCTCTTCTGTGTGCACAACTCTGTTTTCCCCCAGATGAATGGTTAAGGCTTGCGCAAAACAAATGAGACAAAATCATATTGCCTTTAGAAGGTTGTTCTTCGCTTTGAAGGAGGCGTTTGTTTAGATAAAAAGGCTAGTATTCACAGGTTGTTTGAATATCGCACTCCTTATGGAGTCATTAATAGCTTTCCACAACCATACGGGTTAGTGTTCCCGAACACTTTTAGTCAGGTTCCTCGTAGAGTGACCAATATACCTGGCTCCTCAGCAACAGGTGGACTGGTACATGCGCACAGAAGTGGTACGATGCGAGATATTGTCCTTAAGGCTTCTGCAGACCAATGGAAGACTGGAGAACACTACTCCAAGCGTTGCTGACAAGAATGTTTTCAAAGATGCTGAAATTCTACTCTTAAGGATATTGTAGCCTAAGTTTCCCTTGAAATCCAGGTTCACGTAGAGTTTCTTTTTCGAAACAATTAATGTTTCGTTCCTCTGGACTTTTGATTTGATATTGTTGTCAATGAATCTTGGTGCGTATTCATTTTGGATATAGGTTCCTTGCGGAAGGTGTAATTCTGCTTCAGGATTGCAGATGTTTCGGATCAGAATGATGAAGGATTTAATCAGATTATGTTTTCATTCAACAGGCCCCCAACTGTAGAAACTTGTTAGCTGACTGTTATAATTGGGTTTTCTGTAGACTGACGTTAAGGTTCCGCCAGGTTGTCTTGTTAGTTCCAAATGAAACGAAGTAAATTTTACGGCCTGAAGTATTTAACAACTGTTATCCGACAATAAAATTCGCTCTCTCTCACACACATAATCAGTGCGATTCCACAGGATAACCTACGTAGAAAAATTATTGGTCGTGTGTTAGGTAAGTCCTCACCAGACGTCTAACGTAGTTTCAAGGCCGCTGTTTACAGGAATTTCATACTTGTTGTGCCCCTCTGTTAACGTCAAGTGAACGATTCTGAAACTAAACCGTCTACCCATATTGTTATTTTACGAAAACTAATTTTTTTCTACGAATAAGTGAACATTAATTTTTGACTGTTTTACATATACTTTGCGCGGTTGACCAGCACTGGTTGGAGTTCGCATTCTTTAACAAAAGGGTTTTGCTAACAGTGTACTAACTCAAGTTCTCACTTGTAATTTCTCATGGAACTTTGATGGCGTTTGGTCGCATACAGAGTTTAGTATATTATAGAACGTGAAGATGTGATTTTAGTACAGAGTGCAGATTGGAGTTGGATACTTATAAGCAACACACTGTATAATAAAAAGTGCACAAGCCATGTAGGGGTGTAAAGTGCCGTTATCGTTAACTCCTAAGTAGCACAGCTTGCACAAGAAAGCAACGAACCTTGGGTGGGCACAGCTAAAACATGAACGGACTTTGGTTAAGACTTCACCCTCTCTCTCAACGCTTTGGAGTTATGATGGGGTAGCTCAAAGCACTACGCTATATTGAGAGCGTTTTAGAATAAGAGAAGAATTCTAATAAACAGTTCTTCTAGACATATAGTCTGTCCTGCTAAACACACCAATCTCATGGAATGCTGCCAGTACGCGGTGAGATCAACGTAAGTGTTGATATGATTCCCTGAAACTAACTCCATATCACCAAACTACACTCATAACAGTGTTCTTTCAATAATTCTAAAGCGGTGGCCAAATCATCGCATCCGATGTTCTGAAGTCATTCAGTTAAGGCGAAATGCCAACGTCTACCTGAGACACGCCCCTTACGTAATCACGTTTCTAGCCTGCAACCACAAAGCCCTTGTTTCACTGAAACCGAAGACAAATCAGAACACATTACTGATCTTTCAAAATATAAGATATTTTTCGCGGTCGAAAGCGTCGAGCTATGAGGATGTCAAAATGGCACATATGGGCTGAGAATTCAAAGAAAGTCGAGAGGCTGACGGAAGTGAAGACACCAAGGATAGCGAAAGTAAAATACAACAGTTTATGCATGAAGAGTAGGCCGAAAAGAAACACGTACTAGAAATATGGTTGTAGTTCGTAAGCGTTAGTACACAATCAAAGTTCGTCGTGAGTTGTTTTATTGTTAGTGAAAGGGCTGGGACGCCCGGACCGAAGGAGAGGACGTCTTAAGGGCCTACTCTCCGACTATTCGACTTGAAGTACCATCCGTAGGAACTTTCAGGTAATACACATACTTCATAGATTTAAGAATCATCTTATAGATGTTTACACAAAAGCAATAATTTTACAATGACGACGGTAAGAGTCCTCCAACATTAGTGCTGTGATTTTAACGTGATACATTTCTGTGGTAGAAAAATTGACTGAAGACTGAATAAAAGTGTGGAATATTGGGCACCTTTTATCCCTAGAGGCCACGCTAAAAAGCTTAGGAAATATCCAGGCCATTAGCTGCCACCTGGTCCTGGTAGTCGGGCTTACATACTGTGGTGACCCATAAGCTGCACTGGCTAAAACCTATGCTCTTGCAGGTTCTATCATGCTAGAAAGGTTGCTTAGACAGTTGTTGGACTAGACGAGGTTGCTTTTGAATGTATAAGCTCCAGAATCCAGACGTATCGAATGGCATATGGGCTCGTATTGGCCACTGGCGGTCATAGGAATCAAGCTTTTGATGCTGCCTCACTACCTACTGTATGATACTTCAAGTCGAATAGTCGGAGAGTAGGCCCTTAAGACGTCCTCTCCTTCGGTCCGGGCGTCCCAGCCCTTTCACTAACAATAAAACAACTCACGACGAACTTTGATTGTGTACTAACGCTTACGAACTACAACCATATTTCTAGTACGTGTTTCTTTTCGGCCTACTCTTCATGCATAAACTGTTGTATTTTACTTTCGCTATCCTTGGTGTCTTCACTTCCGTCAGCCTCTCGACTTTCTTTGAATTCTCAGCCCATATGTGCCATTTTGACATCCTCATAGCTCGACGCTTTCGACCGCGAAAAATATCTTATATTTTGAAAGATCAGTAATGTGTTCTGATTTGTCTTCGGTTTCCTTTACGCGCGCGCTCCTTGAATACGACGTGCTTTTTCCTCTCCGACCAGAAAATACCAATTCTGTGAATTATCCGTTTGGGAAACCTGATCTTCCTAGCCGGTGAATTTAATTCAACCATTACTTACATAGTAAATCTCTGTGTGGTAAGTCC